CCTCTTTAATTTGATAGGCGGAAGTAATCCATAAATTGAAAAGAACACTATAAACGAAACAAAACAAATAGGTACCCCCCTCACGGGGCCCGATTTCTGACACAAAACGCGGCGGCCGCAGGTGAACGAAAATCTCGGGCCGCGCGGGCCGATATCCAAGTGCCTACCTAGGCTATAACGGTGAACGCACACCGGGTGAGAATAGCCAAAAGGCTCTCCTGCGCTATTCAAGGCTCGCCTGCGTTCTCACCTGGGGTGAGAATAGAGGTGGCCTTTAACCCTCGTAGCGCTTACCGGAAGCGCTGAGCGTGCTCCGTGCCGGGCACGCTTAGCCTTGACCGTTTGTGACCTGCCCCGGAGCGCTGGCTGGGTTGTTTGAGGCCCATGCGGGGAATGTTATTGTTTCATTTTGTATCTTGACAGTATGCACGCATACATTCACCAAAACCCTAGACAATTTATAAATTCAGAAAAGACTTCACTTTCCAGAGGTATGGTTTTCAAAATAATAAAGGGAAAGCTGTATAAAATGAAACCAATCATTCACTGTTCAGCGCAACAGGGTAATTGACCTAAATAAACATTATATAGAGTCTATCCCTAACAGAACCCACGAAGGCACGCAGTGCCTTGACCCCTGGGTTATTTTTTCCTTGATTTTGATTGGTTGAACCATTCTAGAGTAAAATTTTCCATTACAGAACTAATAATAGCAGCTAAAGGAGACGCTATTTGCTCCAAAAATAAGGTGTTCCCCTAAATCGACAATAGTCGCCTCGCGCGCTTGGGAGCTGGCCCGCCCGTTGGCGATTATAGTCGCCTCGCGCGCTCAGCGGAATGAGAGAGGGGAAGCAAATTTTGTCGCCTGGAGCACTACGAGGGTTAAGTATACGTAGTAGTGTACAGCATCAGAATCAATTTGGGCAGAAGAACGGTGCTGCACTGCACTGCACTGCACAATCACAGACAACCAAACCAAACAGTTCTGCAAGTTGCAAAGAAAATAATCCATTGCCGTTGGCGTTGGCAGGCTGCCGTGCGTTGTGCAGTCGTGTTGCCACCACCATGCCATGACTGACAAAGTGGGAATCCTTCAATGACGTCAAACTAGGTGGCTGCTTCCCTAAATATCGGCCAATGGCGTTTAGTTGACGTTCTCTAGCTATCCACTTGTGTCAATTAGTCAATGAGTGTCAATAACAAGACTATCCTTGCCCAAGACGATACTCCTCCCTGGAGATCTTGTTTGGTTGGTTTTTGTTGTTTTTCTGTGAAAAATGTATGCTTCTTGTGGATGCAATGGAAATCCAGTGAAATGCACTCTTTAGAAGTTAAACATTTCTAAACGTATACAGTTGCTACATACACATCTGAGTCGCCTTCATCCAAAGGATTAAAATTTTCCTTTGGAGAACTTCCTCTTTTGTCTTCTTCAGTGTCGTCGGCCATGATGGAAAGTGTATTGGATGGCTAGGCCTAGCCTATTATTAGATCTACTGTTCCCTGTTCCTGACCTAGAACAGGTGAGACTTCGCGTCAACGAGAGCGAACGAGAGCCCTTCGTCTTCGTGTTTTGGGGGCGAGTTACTATTATAATAATATTATTTTTTATTATAGCTTAGCCTTTTTTTCATGGATTAGATATCTACATTGACACGCCTAAAGTACATAGGGTACCGGTAACCAACATCCTAGCACTTGTCAATTACCATATTGCTTAAGAAGCTCGCTACAAATACACATGAAATTTGTCTGGAAAAGAATTAATATAATATCAAAGCAAAGAATAAAATATAAATTATAGGGCCTATCAGTGGCATTATCTATAATTATAATATTTTCGTTGTCCTTAATTGTAGGCTAAAATATAAGCTCTTTGAACTAATTTATGGCTATTCTATGTAGATCTAGTTTTGTTAACCTACTATGAATCTTGTCTTATTCATCCATACCAACAAAGCCTCCTAAATCATATACTACCGAACTGAACAACAGCTGCAAGAAATATTTGACATGAAAATCAGCACATCAAAAACAGAAGTTATGAAAGTGGGCCGGAATCTTGGTAGCCCTTTTTCTGAAAACGGGTTAATAGACAGAGAAATAGAAATGGGAACTCAAAAAGCCAACGAGGCTGTCACCTAGCTGGCACCCCTATTTCCAAATACCCAAACATCTCCATGGACACAATTAAAGAGACAACTTATCACTTCAATATTAACAACTTTATGACATTGCCAGATCTGGATCGACCCATAAAAGCAAAATCACTGATAGCGAAAGCCATAAGACAGGCAGAGAAATGAAGCGGTAAGAGCATCTATATATTGGAACTGCATGAGTCCTGCCTGTATTTCATATAGAGAAAAACAGAATAAAATGGATTGGCCATCTGTTACTACGAGTCATCTAGCCAAGCAGCCTCGAGGGCCTGCCTATAGCCAACGGCAACAGAGGAAGTGAAAGTAAAAGTAAAGTACTATGAATTTATTTTATGTATTTCTGCAATATTATAGTCTGTTCATTTTCGTTTGATCGCGGTTAAAGCGAGATAAAAACAAATCGCCTTGTTTAATCTTTCTCGGTCTTTGTATGCGGGTCCAAGCCCATTAATGAAGATCACTGCAAACTTAGGTTCCGTCGCCACGTATCAATTTGTGAAGTCAAAGACGGACTGAAAAAATATTGGAGATTTATAGGACATGAACCATTATAAAACTGACCTATTTTCACAAAACCGCACTTTCATATTGAAATACCACTCGTTAAAAGAGGGGAATTCTTATAGTTCGCTCACTTTCTTCTGATCGTGGTTAAAACAAGATAAAAAGAAATAGCCCTGTTCAATCTTCTCAGAACTTAGCATACGGGTCTAACAGTTGGATGACCAACATAATCTAAAAGCGGCAAAGCCCATTCTTAAAGTTCAGTTCAAACTTAGATTCCGAAACGTTTTCTTTGATGTAAGCCGAGAGGGGGTTAAAAAAAATAATAGGGGATTTACAGAAGAAACCTTAAACATTTAGGCTAGGCGCGCACAGGGCAACTTTAGTTGCGCAGCTGTTTTCTCCCCCAAATGTAAACAATGAAATAAATAAGCACCGTGCGCACAGGCAACTGTTTTTTTGGAGACTGAAAAGTTTGTGTTTTGTCACAACTTTCTGGCAACGCAACTATTGCTCAAATCCTCTGTGTTACACAAGTTACACACCAAACTGACACAAAGCGCGAACAGGCAACCAAACTGTCTTTTCTCTGCTGAAATGCTTCTCCTCCAGTTGGTGTTTTGATACGTAATTGAGGGTCCCCCGAGACGTAAGAGCTCATTAAAACTGTCCGAGCTCATACGATAATAGTTTTTTTTTAAAGTGGGAGAGTATGCTCTCAAATCTTCATGCAGTTTGACAAAATGCGCTTTTAAAAACCTCTGACAGGGTAAAGGGTGAACTCAAAACCACTGTTTCCTTTTCTTCTCTCGAAGTGCAATCTGTGTGGCAGTTCTATTTCTGTTTGCTCTTATTTTCCGGAAATACGTCGTGTACGATAATTGAAAATCCAAATTCAATTGGTAGATACGTGTGTCATTTCATACCTACCTCCCTAACAAGTGCTCTTTATTGTATACAAACTGGTGACAAAAACACCGTATATGTATGTACGTCTATGCCTGTATCTATGTATGTATATAGGTATGGTATGTATGTATACGGTATGTATGTATGTATGTATGTATGTATGTATGTATGTATGTATGTATGTATGTACGTAGGTACGTAGGTACGTAGGTACGTAGGTACGTATGTAGGTAGGTACGTATGTATGTACGTACGTATGTATGTACGTACGTATGTATGTATGTACGTACGTACGTATATGTACGTTCGTACGTACGTATGTACGTACGTACGTACGTATGTACGTATGTACGTGCGTGCGTCACGTGCGTTCTTGCGTGCGTGTGTGCGTGCGTGCATGCGTGTATGTGTGCGTGCGTGCCCAATTTATGTAAAATATCCGATGGGCTGCACCAATGTATGTAATTGCCGAACCATATGTTAAAATATGTGGATGTATGGGCCAAAGGCCTTTCAAATCAATAAATCATTTTGAATCTTTGAATCTTTAAGTGCAATCACAACTGCACAGACAACAACTGCGTCGTGGAAGTCCATGGCGTCAAATGAAGAAGTCAGTAATGATGATAAGCTACTGTTGTCTGACTGTTGCTTAGCTCTGTGAGCACGGTGTATAAAATAAGTCGCACGGAGACAGCAACTATTGCGCAACTAAAATTGTAACTTTAGTAGAGCGACTGTTTTCTCGCCCAAATGTAAACAATGAAATTGTGAGGCAGCTTGGTGGAATCGGGCGCTCGTCAAGATAATGAAATCAAAGAAATCGGCATTCTTTTGGCCGAGGGGCATTTTTTTTCTCCAAATTTTATCTTTTTGGCTCAATACCTTTTATGTCCATTAAAAAAACATTTTTAAAAGTGGGGATTTTACTTTAAAACATTGATTAAAGGCACAAAAATGGTAAAATTTCAATTTTCAAGGACTCTCCGGCTATGGAAGTTATCAAAGTTTGGCGGCCATTTTCTCACAAATTTTACTTCTGAAACCAGGCGACCACGACCTCCTTCAATTGGAAATATTTCGACTAAGCTTACTATTCAAGATAAATGGCTATTTTTTTAATCGAAGACAAGACAATAATGAAAAAGCTTTAATAATATACCAATAGATATTCGAACTCCACATGCCCCCCCCCCCCTCTCCCAAAAAAATAAAAAAATTTTAAAAATTTAAAAAAATAATAATAAAATTGTGTCATTGAAAAGAAGCCTGTCCTCTACAACAAAACCTCAGACGAGTATACTGACAGAGATAAGAAAAAGAAAGCTTGGGTCGAGGTTTGTGAGGCTGTGACTTTTGTGAGTGAGAACTGGGAAGATCTGAGGTCAGAGGAAAGACAAGTCAAAGATGTCCAATAAGCCATGAAAACAGTTTAAACACTGTTAATGAGGAAAGGGGAGGCGTTAGATCAACTGTCCGTGGCGTCAACTGAGGAAGTCAGTAATGATTGTAGTCTTCTGTTTGTTGGCTGTTGCTAAGCTGTGTGCGTGCGGTGTATAAGTTGCTTGTCCTGATTTTTATGATTGGGGGTGACCAGCGGTCAACCGTGAAACATGTCTGTCGTCACGGCGGCTCACCACCACAGCTACAGGGACTTGTGCTCTCAGTTCTCAGTAACCACTGTGTCCGGCAGTGTCCGCCTCTTGAAAGGGTTTTCTCCTCGCCTCACGGCGCTCCAGTGTGACGTCACGGCTCTCCAACATGGCCTTTGACTCTCGTAGCTTCTGATTGGTTGTTTGTTGGGCTAAGTGGTGGGGGAGGAGGAGAATTGAGTAGTGGGCCGACAATGTCTTAAAGCCTATGACGCGGACCGGCGTGGTGACGTGGTAACACTGAGCTTACAGGTTACACAATTGACTCTTTATGCCCGTAAATGGGCATTTCGAATAGAGTGGGGGATTGGATATTAATTAACACACTGATAGTAATAAGGTAGAAGGGGTGTGTGTGTGTGGGGGGGGGGGGGGGGGTGTGAAACATCTAAAACTACAAAACTACTATGGGATGGGGTAATGTTAAGATACTTAAGTCCCATGCCAGTAGTCTTTTTTCTTTTGACGAGCCTTCCCCGGTTTCACAAATTTGCTGGTTTCCTTTCCTTTTCCCCGTATCTGTCTTTGGGTTTCGGTGAGTTTATTTTCTTACTATACTAAAGGTTGGCTTTTCTCTAGGTGAAACGGAAGACCAGCAAAATTTGCGTTTCCAAGTTCACAACCAACAAAGTCTCAGCGTCTGACTATTCTGGTTCAAAAATATCCGAGTTACATTTCATGTCACAGACACGACACTTCATAAATACACCTGTGCTCACAGACAGACAGACAGACAGACAGACAGACAGACAGACAGACAGACAGACAGACAGCGGATATGACAGAAGAACGGAAAGAAAAAGAGAGCTGAAAGTGGGAACAGGAGGTGGAAAGTTTAGCTTAGCTGTCAATGGAGAAAGATAAAGTAAGAACAGAAATATTGAAGGAACGGACTAAGAAAACACAGGACAGCAAAGAAAATACGATTTTTTAGAAGAAGGCAAGAGACAGCGTTTGAACTGGTAAGATAACAGACAACAACAGAAATAACTGTAGTGTGACCTATTTACCCCAACCGCTCATGTCCAACACCAAAAGAATTAAAAGTCTTAGAAAAAAAACAGAAAAAAAAACAGCCAGGATTTTATCACAGTTTATGTATTTTATTTGTCAAATCAAGAAAAAATAATGAACATCAACATCGTATGGGAATATTCTGTACAAAAAACAAGGTAGTATGAGTGCAGAAAGACAAGTGGGTTTATGCATTAAACATGACAATCATAGCAAAATAACTTGAGTATATAACGTTTGATCCCACAGATG